GAAAGATTACGAAGAGGTTGGTGTAGATTCCGTGGAAGCAGAGGCTGAAGAAGGGGAAGAATACTGAATGGGAGAGTGCAGCTGGTGAGCATACCTCTCTTCTGCTCTCTTCTGGCACCCCTCAACTTGGCTGGTTTCAAGTTGTTTGTCATTAAAGTTTCTGTATCAAACCTCTGTCTGCTGTGGTGCTCATCTGCCCCCAGGAGCAGAAAGGATCCCAAAGCCTGCCGGGCCTGCGTGGAAGGCTGGTCTGGGCTACAGGGTGCTGTGCTGTTGGGGTAGTTGCAGCACTACCCACATCTGTTAAGGAGCAACTGCTTACATGACGGGACTCTGGGTGGGGACAGTCAATATTTCCAATACAAGGTTTCAAAGTATAAAGATTTACTAAATTCTAGGAAAACTGAGTTGGTTTTTCAATTAATTTGCCATTTTTCATGCTTCTTCATTGATAGGACATGTGGACTAAAGTATAAAAGCTTAGGACTGGAGTTTTAAAATTTAAGGTCCATGGATGTCCACAGAATCCCTAAACTGTGGGTCAAATGTGTAAGGTCAGGGCATTTGGGTGGGGAAGGGTTTTACTGGATTCTGCAATGGCATCCATGTTCCACAAAAGGTTAGCTCTACACAATTCATCGTAGTCCTCACCGTTTGTGGTAACTTGAAAGAGCGTTTCCCCCTCCATGCTAAACCCCCTGCCCCCACTGCACCTGGTCTCAACAAAAGCATCATTCGTTTCACTTCAGGCAAAACGTATAGAAACCCGTTAATAAAAGACCTAGTAAGGGCCGGCTGTGTGGCTCAGTTGGGTGAGCGTGAGCTCTGAGCAACAGGGTCGCCGGTTGGATTCCCATGTGGGCCAGTGAGCTGCGCCCGAGCTGAGCTGCTAATAGGTGGCAGGATGGCTCAGCTGGTGAGAGCATGTGCTCCTAACAAAAAGGTTGCCGGTTCAACTCCTGCATGGGATGGTGGGCTATGCCCATCCGCAATTAAGATTGAGCACGGCATCTTGAGCCGAGTGGTCGCAGACTGCCGACGGATGGCTGGATGGCGACTGAACTTGGAGGTGAGCTAGATGCGCCCTCCACAACTAAGATTGAAGGACAACAACTTGGCTGTTCCCCTTCCTCAATAAAATCTTTAAGAAAACAAACGAACAAAAAAAAAACACCCTATTAATATATTTTTCTCTCAGACCTGAAAACGAGGTTCAGGAGGGTAAAGTCACAGGTTTACGTCACTTGGTTAGTTCAGCTGTAGCATAACCAGGACCAGCACGCAACTAATTATAAACCTTCGTGTTTTAATATCTTCAAAAGGTGATAGAAAACATCTTGAATGGACACTCAGTTTTTCAAAAAAGTTTATTACTGACCAAAGGAAACAACACGTAGCCTCCGCTAGGAGGCCGGTGGAACTCACAGCAGGCCAGTGTGACAAGTCGTTGCCTGGCTCAGGTACTGCTCCGGGTGGGGCTCTTCCCCGGCCCACCCGCCTTGGGCAGCCTGGTAGCACTGGGCTGTCGGGGCATCCTCTGGCTGGATCCTTCCCGGCTGCTGCGTTCTGCCAGGGCCGGTCCTCCACCGAGAGCAGTGCTGCCTTTGTTTCTCCCTGAGCAGACACAACACAATCATTAGGAACCAGGGCAAACCACAATCTCGGCCCATCGCTGCATTTGTGCTCCTTGAGCAACATTTATGTCTAGTATGTTTCTGTCACAGTCCTTTCAGCCAGGGACCCTATGTCAGCCCAGGGTCCTGAGGCTCAGGACTGCCTGGAGAAGTCCTTGGCATAGTGCAGGAGGCCCTTGAGGGTGTCCTAGGATGGAAATTATGCACGGAACGAGGCGGGAAAGTTCTGACAGTCGGTTAGAGGAAGGGAAGCTCAGCTTGTTGACTCCTGGCCTGGAAAGCATCCATGGTCAGCTAGAACTGCCAGCAGTGCAGGACTTACTACCAGCAGAGCTGCTGTCTCACTACCTCCCCCCAGACATTCTCCTCCTCTCTGGATTGACCATGTCTGAATGGATTGGACTGATGACACATGAAGCACATGAGTCATCAACAGATGATGAACTCAGGCGTTTGGATTAGGATCTTGGAAGCTCTCACGTTTCCCTACCTACCTCAGTATTCTAAAAACATTCAGTGGTCAAGCCTCTTGCCCTCAGGTTTGCTCCCAGATCCCGTGGCTGGGACAATGCAGAGGCTTGACTGCTTGAGACTTGCCCTGACCACCAGGTAGTCACACTCAGATGGAGACCACTGGTCTATTCCTTGATTTGTAATTTGCTTACTTTATTCTCTCTTTTGTGAAGACAGCCAGGAAGACCTGTAACCATGCCAGGGCTAGAGCTTTATTTTAAAAGGAGTGGCTTCTCTTGGCTCAGGGTGTTGACAGCATCAGCAAGACTGAGAGGACCACCCAGGGAACAAAAGGTACTGGTGCAACAGCCTGGTGGTCCACTTGCTCAGTCTCTCCCCTTTGGGCCTGCCTCAGCCAGGGTATGCCCTGTGGACTCTGACCAAGGTACATGTCCCCTGCTTGACACCTAGCTTCCATCCAGGTTCACAGTCAAATAGCCTGAGATAAGTTCTTGAAGAAAAGACAAGACAAAGTTTCTTAGGGGCCTTTGTCCACTTCTTGAGTAAGCGGAGGCACCTGCATTTGAAACTCTGCAGACCCTGACTACTCTTAGGACACCAGGCTCCCTTTCCATGCTCTCCAACACTGACAAGTAAATTCTCCCCAGGATCCTGCAGGGATAGAACAACGCTTAAGAGAATGTCCAGAGAGTTCTTCCTCAGAGGGTGGGGTCTTTACTGCCCAGTGTGCTGGAGAGGGTTACTATGGTGCCATGCCTGGGACTCTTGACAGTTCAGGTTTCCCCTGCCTCGCCTCCCTGGGCTTCACACTCAAGTGCTTGCATGCATTTGATTCGACAAACATGTAGTAACAGGTTACCCAGAGCCGAGGGGGAGCAGACAGGAGCATGTGGTAGGGTGAAGCTGGGCCAACTCAGCCTGCTAGTGACTCACAAAAAACAGACACAAAGAGAACTGTCACCCACATTTCCTTTGGTACAAATGCCAATATTATGGTCCCCACTGACTGGTCAGTGGGCAAGGATCCCTGAGTGTGTGGGCCCCGCCACCCCACAGCATCCCCCAACATGCCAGTGCCCTCCTCTGAGGCCACAGTACCTCCCCAGGCCAGACCAAGCAGAATTAAGTCTTCTGTAGCATCTGGCCTAACCCTGGGTCCCTAAGGTGCCCCACAAACTCTTGACAAGGGGCATTTCCTGAAGGACTCAGAAATATAGGTCAGACATAGCTCACGCCCTGCAAGTAGCAGGGCAGGTCTCAAAGGTGGGTCTAACTGAAATCAGCTTTTCTTTAGCCTGCCACACATGTGAGTTTTCCCTCCCACTCAGTGTAATGACCAGGGCCCTTCAGGAAACTCAAGGATGAGAGGAAAATAGAAAACGGCAAATAATGTATTTAAAATCTGAAAAGGCCCATAACCTTGGAAATAAGACACTAATGTGACTTAGAGCCATAGAAGGCATTAAGAAAACCATCTAACAATGAAAGTAGACCATTTATCCAGCTCTGTGTAATTCATGGAACCCTCAGAAATCCTGTGCTCTTGGTTAGTGGGAAGATCCATTCAGGCCTCCTCATTTTATATGTGGAGGAAGGAGGAGGAGGATGGTCTGCAGGGCCTGCATGAAAAGACCTGCTGTGTTCAGCTGGGCTCGGCTCAGTCTTGCAGGGAACCCAGTATTGGACTTTTTGGAGCTGGTCACATGAAATGGAGGGTGGGGCTGAGCAAAGGATGATCATATGCTGAGGAAGGGTGAGGTGAGGATATGCCTGGTTCCTGAGGGCACAAAGACAAATAACATCACTGAATATTAAAAAACAGTGGTCTGGGAGCCAGGCGAGTGGTTCGCTCGGTTAAGAGTTGGCTTGGGAGTGCGAGCTCTGAACAGCAGGGCCGCCAGTTTGGTTCCACATGGGCCAGTGACACTGCGCCCTCTACAGCTAAGATGGTGACGAACAGCTTGACCTGGAGCTGGGCTGGCGTGAGTGGCTGACGTGAGTGGCAGGCGACGGTGTAGGCTGCAATGGGGCTGCAGTGGGCTGCTGTGAGCTACTGTGAGTGGCCATCCAATGGCCAGCGAACGACTGCCTCAGCTGGGAAAAGCGCAATGATCACAATACCAACATGGCCAGTGAAGCGACGTCCTCCACAACTAGACTGAAGAACAAAAGGACAGCAACTTGTCTGTTCCCCTTTCCCAATTCTCCAAAAAAATCTTAAAAAAACAAACAAACAAGGGCCGGCTGAGTGGCTCAGTTGGTTAAGAGCTCGCTCAAAGGTTTGAGCTCTGAGCAACAGCAGTTCGAGTCCAGCCCGAGCTGACCTGCCGCTGAGCTGCCAACAGGTGGCAGGATGGCTCAGCTAAAAACAAAACAAAACAAAACAAACAAACAAACAAGCAAAAACAGTGGTCTGGCTTATTGTCTTCAAAAGTCAGTGCTCCTCCTACCCCTAAAACCAACTTATGTCCACTCAGGGTTTTGTGATCCCTTAATGAAGCAAACCCCAAAATGCACCAGCCTGTTTTCCCCGTGACTCAGGGAGCCCCTAAAGCTGGGGTGGTGGGGGAGGGCGGGGAGTAGCCAGACCTGGTGGGACCCTCTGTGTCATTTACCTTTGGTGTGGCCTGCATGAGCCCCGCTTACCATCCCCTCCAAGCTCTGTAGGTAGAGCTGGTCCGGAGCAAACATTTATAAAAAGTCCCAGTAGGAGCTGCTGCTCCCATCCCTTCCTGCTGGTCCCCAAGAGCGGCCTTTCTCTTTTGTGGTCAGAGCACCCCCTCGTGGCAGAATGGCCAACAAGGCTGCCAAGGCAAAATATTAGTGACTGGCAGTGAGTGTACACTGAATTCATGTAGTGTGAGGAAGAAAAATGAGGGGCAGGGAGGACAGGTGAGTGAGAAATGAGAAGAGGGAAAGAAAGTACTACAGCCCCGCTCCAGGAGTGCACTTTAGCCGGACGAGGCAGCACAGGCTACCCCGATAGTCTTCAAGGCCACTGCCATTGTTGGAGAGCCACCAGCAAGTCTGCACCCACCAGCCATTACTGCTGCCCTCTGTGGTTGGGCACACAGTAGGGGCTTTATCAGTGCTTCCAGGACACACACAGACAACTCCAAACACCTACATGCCACACAGACGTGTACACGTGCACTTTTAACCCTTAACTTGGCCTATGCTTCTTGGGCGGTGTTCTCCCTCATGGACGTGCCTAGTGAGTGACCCCTCCTTGCATAGCACACACAGCCCTGACTAGGTGTTTCGGGAAAAGCATTACTGTGAATGTTCTGGAGCATACTGGAGCAGCGCTGTCCAATAGAAATATAATGTGAGCCACACTTGTAATTTAAAATTTTCTAGTAGCCACATTAAAAAGTAAAAACGGGTGACGGGTTAGCTCAGTTAGTTAGAGCACTGTGCTGATAGCACCAAGGTTGCCGGTTCGATCTCCGCATAGGTCACTATGGGCTGCGCCCTCCTTAAGAGAGTCAGCTATGCCACTGTAGCATGAAAGCCATGTGTAACCAATGATCAACAGCTGTTCCCCAATAAAATAAAATTTAAAAAAAGTAAAAAGAAACAAGAAATTAATTTAAATGTTTTAGTCAACCAAAAATATCCAATATATTATCATTTTGACATATCGATATAAAAATTATTCATGAGGTATTACATTCCCTTTCTGGGCCAATTCTTCGGCAGCTGGGCTTGTGGGGTGGACTTACATTTGCCCCAGGGCCGTGGCTCTGGTATTGGACAGAGCAGCTCTTCCTGAGGCTTCCATACACCAAACTTCACCTACTTGTACATGTTCTGGAGGGACACCTTCTTAAAACTTTAGTTTCCTTAAACTTCAACAGAGAACACTCAACTGAATTGAATTTTTCCTGATTCCACACCCTTCCCATGACAAGCATTACCTTACCACTCTGTGCTTTGGGGCTATCTCCCCTTTTTCTGCTGGAAGAGGCAAAGTGAGTCAGCTTGCTGGTGACAGTCCCTACAGGCCACCTAGAAGGCCAGGGGACAGGAACCCAGGCAGAATCAAGTCCAAGTGGGGCTCTAGCCCATGGCCTAGAGCATCTTCACATTCCAACTCTGTGGGAAACCTAAAGCCAATTAGCCCCAACAGCCCCAAACCCCCATCATCATCCTTGGCCACCATGGTCCCCGCAGCTGGATTACTCTGACAACTCTATTTTCTCCACCCCATATCCTGCCATGGATGAGGTGACAGGAAGGCCTGTGTGAACAGATGCTACGACACATGGCCTCACAGATCTGTCTTATCTGGTGGCCTCTGCCTCTCAGCAGCAGCACACTCCTGGCATGGCCCACACCTCATCTGCCCCACACCTGTCCAACTCTTCCCATCAAGCACCTCCCCAGACTGCTCTCTACCCCACCATGCATCTCTCCAGGGTCTCCATGTCCTCTTATCATGGCTGCTGGCTACCCAGCCTAGTAGGACCCAAGGCCTGAGCACTCAAGGAGAAAAGGACCCTATGGGGCCCAGCACTCCACTCCTGTTCTCACTTCCCTCAGAGTACCCTCTGATCTTCCTAACCCCTCTATGCCAGTGTTCCCAGCGCCATACCCATGGCATACCTCTTGACTTCCATCCTCCTCTCTCTGCCTAACGCCCCAGCTCTGGCCCAGCTCCCACCAGTGGCCTGGATACACACCATGCATCTCTGCCTCACCTTTTCCCTTTCAGCCCCCTCCCCACCTCACAGTGCTGACTCTGTACCTGGCACAGAGGGCCCTGCCCCCGAGACTGCTTAACCCTGGCTGCTCCAGTTTCTATCTCTGCAACTGACAGTTATGTCGCCATCTCCCTCGCTGGACCGAGGGCAGATCCATCTCACAGCCCCACTATGCCCCAGCACTGAAAGCTGGCCTGGCACCCTGAGTCACCGAGTGAGCAGTACCACTTTCTCGAGTGAGAAGGGCTCTGTTCCCAGTTTCTCCCTCTCTCTGGAAACTCACCCTCATCAATTCCTCAGCTCAGCCTTGTAGTTCACCCACCCCGACGCTGACCTGCCCCCTGGCTCTTCCCTACACCCTCCGTGGCCCAAGCTTCAGGTGTACCTGGAATGGCGAGGTGGGGGTGTGGGAGGAGGGATGTGTTGGAGGGTAAAACAAGAGCACCTGTGGGATCTTAGGCCCTCACACGCCCCTGCCACTGGGGCCTCAGCCTTAACACACCTGACAGTGCCTTGAAAGTACCCCAGCTCAGGGACCAGGCAGGAAAGCAGGATCATGGTTTTATCCTCCAGGCTGCCTACCCAGATACATGACAGTATCTAAGAAGCCAAGGTGTTTCTCACACCTTTAGGCTTTGCTCTCCACAGCATGCCATGTGCCTCTTTCCTGCTTTTTGGCCTCTTGTCCTCTGGGGCAGGGGCACCTCTATAGAGAGCACGTCTCACCCAGCAGAGTTAGCCTCCAGGGAGTAAAGGATATTGACCTCACTCTAGAAGTACTGCAGGTTGACTCTTAATAAACCACTAAATCATGTCCTTGGTCTCTAAGTTGTGTGGCAGAGATGGCCCACAGAGTCCCTGCCCTTGCAGGTTGAAGCTGTTCTAGCTTTCTGGGGCCACAGCAGTTTCCATAGAAACAAGACAGCACACCAACCCCCAGAGATAAACCAATAAATGCAACCTGCAAAAGGAGAGAACAGGCAGCAAGAGAACCGGAGGGAACCGGGGGGCCCTGGAGAGAGAGGCGAGTGCGTGGCAGTTGGGCCATTGTGCAGAACCGGAGAGGCCGCAGGCCGCGCGGCTGAGGAAAAGGAGGGCCTTGCAGGGGGGCTACAGTTCTTGGTAGAGAGAAAGGAGGCCTCTGCAGGTCAGAGAGAGACACAAAGAGAGCAGACGGAGCATGGGTCAGTGAGGAGGCCCAGGGTCTCTCAGGACAGGAGGCGCAAGTGCTCAGGGCCCTGGCTCTCCCACCCACAGGAGCCAGCCCTTGCCCTCCACCCCAATGTGAGCTACTTCTCAGGATGTCTGTGAGTGCCCGAGTGCTCTGGTCAGGGAGCCAGCCTAGGAGGTTCTGCTGCATCTCAGGGGATTTCCTACAGCCATCAGGAGCAACCACACAGGGAGCTCTGCTATGATACCGTTGTCACCAGCACTGTTCATCCCCCAGTCGTGATCCTTGAGAGTAAGGAGGCCCCTCAAGCTTGAGCCCAATGATCTCCCACTCAAGCCTCTGTACTCTGAGTGTCTAGGGCAGCCAGGGCTGCCACGCTGACTCCCAGAGAAGTGAAGCTCAGCTGGCCAGACTCTTGGGCAGGATCTGGGCCAAGGTGGGATACAGGTGAGGGGGTTGCAGGATGGTCTCTGCCTGACCACTCCCTGAGCACTTCCCTAGGCACTGTATAAGCCATGAGAACAAGAACCAAAGTAGTCTTACTCTCATGTTTGTGGTATGAAGGCATGAGTGATGAGGTGGGAAGAGACAGCGAAAGTTCCAGATGAGACCTAGTCTTCTTCGACCACCCTGAGGCACCCATTCTGTTACTGCCTGATCTAGACATGCTCTCTAAAGGCTAGCATCAAAGCCAAAGCTGGGAACTGCACCCAAGGGGAGAGTCCTTGGATGGGCCCAGTGGGTCCTAGGAGAAGACCGATAGGAAGTCCAGGCCACCGAGGGCCTAGCCCGTGCTATGCCCGGCACTGCCCACCTCCCGGCCCCTGCCACCTCACCACCGCGGCCACAGGGGAAGAGAGCTCTGACCTCGGGTCTCCTGCACGCTCGATGTGGGCAGAGACACCGCCCCAGGGTCCTGGGGCTCGTTTGCCAGCCTCTGACCCGCACACATGGACTTGAGCATCTGGAAGACGGCGAGGGGCGCCACGTTCAGCTTCAGCAGGTCCACCAGGATCCTGGCGAGAATAGACGCAGTGCGCAGTGAGCCCTCCAGGCCCCGGGCCCGGCTACTAAGGAGAGAACGGGCTAGGCATGGCCACTAAAAGGGCCACGTCCCTCAAGACTCCTACTCGATTCTGGGTCCCTGGGGGTTCGGACAAGGACAGAGAGCTCTTCTAGATCGGTGGCCGGGCGGGGGGCTGAGAGCAGCGAGGTCTAGGGGTGGGACAAGCGCGCAGCCCCCACCCGCGCCCGCTCACTTGAACACGTCGGGGTCCATGGCGCCGCCCGCCGCCTGCGCCAGCTCGTACAGCTCCATCTCCTCCGCGCTCAGCACTTTCTTCCGCCGCAGCACAAGCTTCTGCAGGGCCGCTTCCAGCCCTGGGGGTGCCCCCAGCACGGGAGCGGCGCCTGGCGCCGCCATCAGCGCGGCCTGCGGGAACTTGCGCGCCCCGCTTCACCGGGCCCTCCCACAGTGCCCTCTACTGGCCCCACCAGCTGTTCTTTTCTCTGCAGCGCCACCTCTTGGCCTCCTGGGCAGCCCTATCCTGGAGGGCAGGGACAGAGCCGGGAAAAGGGGCCCGCTCCTGGGCGATCAGGACTTCCCTGCTAGGCTGCATTGATCATTCTCGCTTAAGTAGCAGCACCCAGCGCAGTGCCTGGCATCTAGTGTGCTCTCAATAAATGCCCGTTGGACGAAGGGCATTGCACAGCGCCTAACTGTTCCGCGCCGCCGTGCCCCATTGGGGGAGGTGGCGCCCGGAGGGCCCTAATTAACAGCCTCTCTTTACACGCACGCGCACTCCTTGTCTCGGCTACAGTGCGTGAGCTCAGGCGTGAGGGGCGCAGATGCCCACTGCGCACGCGCATACAGAAGTGGCCGCCATAAACCCGGCCGACCTTCGCTTTGCGCACGCGCCTTTTGAGGTAGCCGCCACAAGAGATAGACGAGTTTCCCGCCAGGCCAGGGGGCGTGACGCCACGCGCTGCTTGATGACGACATACCGGCGCCGGATAGCCAACTGGTGGCCTCAGTACCTGAGGTGAGCGACGCTAAGCATCCCACAGGTGAGTGGCGGGAGCCTTCGCGCGGGACGGTCCCGCGTCTCGGCATCTTTTCCGAACCTCCGCCCAAGCCGTCTCCGTTCCTCCGCGAGCCTTGGGCCGGGTCTCGGCGTCTCTGCCCCAGGCCCGGCCGGCGGGGTAGCCAAGGGCCCGGGCTGTGCCATCATGCCATCTTCCCGGGCTGCGTCCTCATGACACCTTACCGCGCGGCTTGCACACTCCATCCCGGTAGGTGCTTGGTTAATGTTCGTTGAAGGAGTTGGAGGAAGGAGAGCTTCGAGGTAAAAATTGAGCCTTGGACCTAACAAGCCGTGTAGGAAGGAGGAAGAGCCGGGTGTGAGTCCCGGGCTGAGACTTCCTCGCGGTGTGGCTCGATTTTTTCCTAGCCTCAGTTTCCTCATCTGTGATATGGGGATCTTGATGTTTACTTCACAGGACAATTGTGACCAACAAATGGGAGCTGCTTCTCAGAGCTGCTAGAGGGAGGGAGGCCTTGGCAGTAGCGTGATTTGCTTGGCATGATCGGCGTTGACTGAGGGCTGCCGCTCTCAGAAGAAACCCCAAAACAAGGTCCCAAGCAGCTCCTCAGCAAAGTGGTTGTTGAAGTGGCCGGATGAAGCAAACACTTGGTGCACAGCGCAGAAGGGTGTGATGGGGGGAGCCTGGGTGTGGAAGGGTTAGAGAACAGAGCGTATTAGAGACACTGCCCTCCCTTGGAAAGACTCCTGGTTTGGCACCTCTGGCTTCGTTCCCTCAGCCACTGCCTTATGCAAGCTTTTTCTGAGCAATGAGGTCCTTTAACCTCATCCTATCTAAAGCTCTGCCCTTTGCAAACTGCAGGATTTTATGCTGCTTTGATCATAAACATTTGGTTCAGGACTGAGGCATTTTATTTGTGTTAAGTCTTAAAACAAACTGATAGCTAGTTTAAGAGCTTGAAAAAACCTGGGAGGTGTTTATATTGCCAAGTGGCAGAGATGCGCATCTCCTGTCAACCCCTCAACTGCCTACACAGCCTCCTTGCACCCAGCCTCTCTCCATCCACATAAGCTGTCAGTTGCCACCTCAGTGCCCTAACTTGGGCTATGCGTGAGCAAAACTGTGCCGGGAAAGCCATCAGTACCCCATTGGTGGGAGTAGGCATGCTTTCTCTCTGCTCAGTCCAAGTCTGGATATTTTCAAAACTCTGGCTAGGCAGAGAGATAGGAATCTGGAGAGCTACCCCTGATTTTCTGATGGCCCAGTCAAAGGCTTCCTTGGCAGAGCTTGCTCCTCCCAGCCCACCCCCACTTCATTCTTAGAGAGTACAGGTAACATAGAGGAGACTTATCCACCTGTCTCTACGAGAGATTTATGGGGAGATTTGTGTACTTAATGTTGGTTCTGACATTTACTAGCTGGGTGAGAGTAAGTGAGGTGCCTTCTTTCTCTTTCCATTTCCTCATCTGTACTGACCTTGTAGGGTTGTTGTGAGGATGTATTTCCTATTTTTGCTTAACGAACTTAGCAGCTTAAAGCTTCATTTATTATCTCACAGTTATATAGTCAGGAGTGCAGTGGGTTCTCTGCTTAGGGTCTCACAAAGCTAAAGTCAAGGTGTTGGCTGGCTTTGCCCTCCTCCCCCTTTTTTTTTTACAGCTTTTCTTTTTTAATTTTTAAAAATTTACATATAGTTGGTATACAGGCTTATATTGGTTATATTAGTTTCAGGTGTACAATATAGTGATTGACCGGCTTTGCTCTTATCTGGAGGCTTTCGGGAAGAATCTGCTTCCAAGCTTATTCAGGTAGCTGTCAGAATCTAGTTCTTTGGAGTTGTAGAAGTAAAGTCCTCGTTTCCTTGATGGCTGTCAGCCAGGACTGCTCTGTATTTTATGGTCCACAACTTGAGAATTTAATTGTACCTGCAAAATCCCTTCACAGCAGTACCTAGATGAATGTTCGATGGAATAACCCGGGACAGACACCTTGGAGGGCAATATTTAGAATTCTGCCTGCCACTGAGAATTAAATGAGAAGTATATGGCGAATCCTTAGAACCAGGCCTGACACATAGCAAGTGCTATACAA